GCTCGTTGTTCCAGCACAAAATCCCGGAGGGTTGTGGTTTTGTTGTTGATGGACCTGGCGTTACACAACACCAGTGACGGAGGGGGGTTCTCCATCCTGGCCCCACTACCTGCCACCCTTGGGATGGGCCGTAGGCTGGAAGGACGCCGAGCCGCTCTGTTTCTCTGCATCCTTCCCTTAAAGCCCTGCCTAGGCCCACCGCAAAACTTCCCCCTTCCCAAGAGCACGGGAATTTGCTGCCCAGACATTACACTGGCGGTCTCCACAGTGCTTCAGACCACCAGTGAGGTAAATGACAGAGAGATCGCAAAATCCACTCCTCGTACAACAGAACAAATACAATCTAAGTCTTCTGCTATCAAATACAATCTGAGTGCTCCTATGCAAAATACAATTTACCTGACCTATCTACCTAAACATTTTAAGTCCATGATAATCGTGATCACACCATCACATTCATCATTCATACAGCACTCATTCACATCCTCACTAGCAGACAAAACCAACGTACACCCACATATACAACATGCACACAAACTGTTGCCAAACAGAAGGATTCTGCATCTGCATCCACAGCTACCAAGAATGAGGGTGCCCCGCCGCCGCTTCCAGCACTTGAAGATGTTCCCCGTGCTCGCCAGTAGGTGGCTTCATTAAACTTTGGGTCCCCAGCTTTTCTCGGCTGCAATACAAGGTCCTTACAGGAAAGTCACAGTCCGTCAGTAAATTCCGCTCTGCACGCCCTGCCCAGCTCATGTGGCCGAAAGGGCCGATGATCCGGTTATCCGCTGGCTGGCACAGGTACGTCGATCTCCATGGTCTAACAGATCTGCCACTCAGCCTGTCAAAGGGTCCCGAGGGGGATAAAACCCTACTCCAGAGCCCCTCGTCACCGGCCACAGCTGTGTCGCCTCCGTCATCATCCCCACACTCCTAATCGCTTCTGGGGCAGCACCAGCTGCCGCAGTGGCAACCACACACGGGCCCCATCACAATGGCGACCACATGGTCGACCAGAATAAGAGAAGCCCTGGGGGGCCCGTGGGCTGCTTGAACACCATCCAGGGGCGCCCTGCGCTGCACCACGGTGCCCCCCAGCCGTGTTGATAGTCCTGAGTTGCTCCAGGGGTACGGAAGTGGGCATTTGGAAAAACCTCTGTGCTGTGCCACAGCTCTTCCTCAGGCTCGCGCCACGCCGGGAACCAGATGGCAGATATCCTGGGCGGCTCTCATGCTGTACTATACCCAAATCATAGTTCTTTATCCCTTACCTAATATTATAGGCATATCTGATTTGATTTCATATTACTCTATGGATGGTATAAAATGCCCCAAAGCAGTGTTCAACTGTATTTGATTTTTTTTCAAAGCATATACAATTCATTGTAAAATACCTTATGAAAATGTTTCTTGTTGGCACTTTTTATTCATATCGTAATTGGTTGTTTTACTGGTTCCTGTTTTTCATTTTTGTTTTTATATTTTGTTGGGAGCAGCTTTTAGATGGATTGCTTTTGGTGTGATTATTTTTATTAGCTGATTGTATTAATTCATATGTGTCAACATCTCTGATCGTTAACTGCCTCAGGTTATGTAAATAGTAGAAAGATGGGGCATAAGTCTATCACATATATACATAAATAATAATTTAGATTAGCAGTTTTCAGTTGTGTGCTGGATTTTGATGGAATTTATCTTATACTGAAAAATCATAGATGCATATAGACAAAATATCATGGGATCAAAGTGTGAGAAACCATGCACAAAAGCAAATCACTGCAATCTTCAACTTATGGAATTTTAAGGAGGCACTAGAACATGATATTGACCTATAGTCAGGGAGGGCAACATGGACAGCTTCACATTTTTTTAGTAACACAAATGACCTGAAAAGAAATGAAAACAGATAATGCCTATGATTTTAAATGTTTTATTCATAACAGTATTACATGGTGTGTTACAGAAATTAATGGAAAAGTTCTAAAATTGGTTGTCTTCTGCTGAATGCATAAAGTTATACATAAAGTTAAAAGAAAGATGTTCAACAAATAAATGGTTTTCCTCTGAGGTAAAGTTAATCTAGAAATGTACTGCCAAACAGTCATTTTTATCTTTCTTTTCTGTATTAAAAAATACATGGTGAAATGCAGAAATCAAAATGAATCAAAGTATAAAGTAAACATCTTTGCAAAGAAGGTGCCCAGTACATTATTTGATCAGAGGTTTCATCAGACAATTGGATGACTATGATCTATCAAAATATTTTTGCAGTATGAGAGGGATCAGGAAACTACTGGAGACAGTACAGAATGATAGGTTGGATTTCCCTGGTTTAAAATTTAAAGTGACAAATTTAGTGCTATTGAAAAATGGGAGGGAAGTTTTGTTGGCTTCCCCAGACCTATTACTTATTTACAATACTGTTACAGGGCAGGCTGCCATATTGTGTTGCATCTAGATGATAATGTTACATGGTAGCTGTGGAGTCTCATTTCAAGAAAATAGTCAACATGTAAATGAAGCAAACTTCCTTGTGATTTCAGATTTTGAAATGCAAACTTTATTCATTTTTATAGTTACTGATAGTACTGGTTGCATAGACTTGACTCAACCTTGGCAAGTCTGTCAAAAACCTATGAATAGTAATGTCTTCATTGAACCTAATTATGATTTAAATGTTTTACTTTGTAACTGAAAAGCTAATGATCATGATAGACTCCAAATGTTTACGAATGAAGAATTGAAATACCGTGTTCTTATGGTCAAGAGTTCCAAGACAAACACAGTAAAGAACTTTGCTAAGGAAGAACATAGCATTGTTTATTCATATCCACATTTGAAAGGTATTGTTTAAAAAAGAAACACTTGTGAATTGTTCTCATCTTCTTGGTTAAACCAAAAATACACAATCCCACACATCTTAAACAGACACTTTTTGCATCATTCTTTTGATGTGCGTTTGCTGCAGAAATTCTGATAATGTCTAAAGAAACAAAATGGTTGGAAGAGTGCGTTAGATCTCACTTCTGCACTGATATTAAAGACTAATTTCCACATCTAGCATATCATTCGCACACTTTATTACCTACTTCAAAATAACTGGTGGCATTTATGAAATTTGGCTGTCAATATCACTAAATTGTCATTTTGTTTCAGCTTTCAGCTACTTTTGTAAGATGCCTTCACCTAAATCAATAAAACATATAGAAATATACAATTCCAGGTCTACATAAATCAATGAAAAATACACACAAATCTTGCTGTTTCAATTTAAAAACAAAATCTGTATAATCCTAAAAATCATTCACCATTTGAGTTCATTAAGATTTTTTTAGTGCTAAACCACTAAAATTTAATATATTGTAATCTGCATAGGAACATCACATTTGACCTGTATAACAACTCTCTGTAGGGCAAAAATATATAGATTCTTTATGCAAATCATGTGCTAAAGATAGGAACCAAACACTGCACTTTTATTACATAAATGTAAAAAAAAGAGACAGTTTTTTAAAAAGTTGTTTCTGATTTGTGTGTAAACAGTTTCACTTTTATTTTTTGAATTAAGAAATGGCTCTGACATATGATTTCTTTTCCTGTAAAAATGTAGAACGTCATAATATTTATATGGTAAAATCAAGATAATAAAATTCTGTGTTCCCATCAACTTTACTAGTTGCTGACAAGCTAGCTGATGCTGGCAAATGAATTTAAGCCTCGGCCCATTAGTATAAGCATGTGAAAAAAACATATGTGATGCAAGAACCACAAGCTGGGGTTTCCGCGCTTCCAAAGTACTGCCATTTGCTACCTTCTCTACAGTGTCATGGCATTATTAAAAGAATTCTCATAACATTTATATTTACAACAAAAAAACCTGGCAAATTTCATTCAAACTCCTTAAAGCCATTTCCTCTTAAACATTTAAAGAGTTTTAACAGTAATTTTTTTTAATTTCAAGTTATAAAATAAAAATCCCATTTGAATTTTTCTGATGTACAAAAAGTGATAAAGATGAACGATTTGATCACAGATTCAGTTCATTATTTCAAAATTCATGCCATCTTTATCATGTTAATAAAGTCTATTCCAATCAAATCCAGACATATACTGGAATTATTTGGCAAACGATTTTTTCTCTCTTCAAAAATGGCACACAGAGAAGAAAAACACTTGTCTGCATAGCATTACAGCAGCAAGATATCAAAGAAATAAAAAATATTCCTTTACTGGTCTTTGTTTCAAGAGTTCCCTAGGAAATAACACATTGGCTGTCTTTTTTGTCATCAATATGATTTGATGTCCTTTTCTACCCACAGCAGTATTCAAAACAGAAAAGCAGCATTTCTTCTTTTGATACACTGGAACGTAAAAGGTCCATTTGGCAACATTTTCCAACTGAGACAGATAACCACCAGAATGGCATTCCATGATTTCAAGTTAAGAATTGTTTTCACAGGAGGCATTTAGCTGCTAGAGTTTGAACAGTTTAAAAAGAGGGAGAAAATGAAATGCTCAAGCACTCCCTCCTTCAAATATGTCATTATGGAGTGGACAGCAGGATCAGTCTGGTATGATCATAAAAATATACCATATCATAAAAATGTGTAGCCACATAGATAAATTACTGTTGACTTGATGAAGTGTTTGCTTTCTATGTGTTCTCTATACTATTTAACAATTATTTGTATTTGTAGGATATTTGAATTGCCTGCTTTCAAAGAGATGATAAGGAGAAAAAAATTGCTTGGAGATTTGAAACTTGTAGAAAAGAAGCTTGGAAAATAGGAGTTTTTAAACACGATTTTAAAAAAAGCAATGTTCTCCCTTAGAAATGCCACTGGTTGCTGAAAAATCTTGCTTGCTGAACCAGCCCAGCGAAGTGATTATCCTTGATTCTCTGTGAACAACTGAAAGAAAATGTGAGAGCCAAAGGCCTGGCAAGGTTGCAGTTTTTCTTTTGAAGCACCACAAGCGTGGGTCAACGCTATTTCTTAGGTCTGTTGATCTGGGCGTAGAGAGGTTCTCTTTCCTGGGGACAATGGAAAAGAACAGTGAATAAAGATGTTTCCAGTCCTTTGCACAAACACCTAGCTGGAAAGAGGTAGGCAAATATGCAAAGGAAAAGGCTAAAGAAACAGTGGGCTGGATCTTACAATTCTTTGCTGCTAATGGCATCACTTTCCTCCTGAGCAAGGAGGCTTCAAGCACTGCTATAGGCTCCTCTGCCAGCAGGATTCAGCTCAATATTTTCATCCTTCTGTTCTGAATTATCATGGCTTTCCAGATGACAGTTTTAAGAAAAAGTATTTCATTAATTTTGTGTGCACAACAAATGGTTGTTCAGGAGTGAGATACTATTCTAGATTGAAAGAATAAAAATTAAATAACAGAGAATTTGTGTACATCTCACTGTATTTTGCAGTTCTTGATTTAAAGAAAATAAATCAGTTTGAATTCACAAAAATAACAAGATATTGTTGCCCTGTACTCAAGATAACATTTCACATTTTATACCATATATTTTTCTGCTGACATATTCAATTCCAGTTATCAGATGCTCTAATACTTAACTCCCCCTAAGGTATAATGGTACACTTATATAAGCTAAAGATCTCCATCCATAACTTGCATGAATTCAGATCTGCTCACTTTTTCTGTTTGCATAACTCTACTGGTGACAATGCAAAGTTTCCCCACCTCGAGTACATTGGGTTGTTGGGTAAGGGTCATGGCTCAGTGGTAGATCACATGTTTTGCATGCATAAAGTCCTAAAGTCAATCCCCAGAATCCCCAGATGAAGCATCTCAGGAACTTGGTGCCAGAAATACGTTATTTTGCTTTGCAACCATGGTGACCAACTGCCATTTCGAGTAGAGAGTAGTGATTTACATGGACTAATTGACTTAAATATAAGACATATTCATAATTTTTATTACAAGTGGTGACCCATGAGAAACTCACAGGGAAATCCCCCCTCTTGCATTTTTTCTGCACCCCCTTCCCCTTTAATGCATGTCCTCCCCACTTCCTCATTCCCTGCCACTGCTTTTCTGTCTAAGTGAAAAGTGGATGCCGTCCTGAGCAAAGTCAATTATTCTTAAATTTGAAGACTTGGCAGGAGCAAGTGGCAGTAGCTTTGAGGACTTTGTTCTACATGTTACAGAAAATTTCTGTTACAGAAAAACTTGTTACAGAAAATTTCTGTTACTATTAGTAATTGATAATTTTTAAATGTCTAAAATGTTTTAATCACCCAGAGCCTGCTCTGCGGGGTAGGCAATTCATAAATTAGGGCCCAAGGGCTGGCCGTGGAAGGTTTGTGGCTCTGCCTGTGTCCAGCCAAGGAGGATATAACAGGGAAGTTAGATAAGCATATGGAGCAGAAGTCTCTCAGTGGCTCTTAGCCACAAGGTATAGACAGGAACTCTTGGTCCGGGGCAAGGGATGCTCTGTATTCTTGGTGCTTGGGGTGGGGGTGGGGGCAACAGTGGGAGGACTTCTAGTGTCCTCCTGGCCCCACTGCTGGACCTTCTGAGGGCACCTGGTATTTTTGGCCACTGTGTGACACAGAGTGTTGGACTGGATGGGCCACTGGCCTGATCCAACAGCGGCTTCTCTTATGTTCTTATGTTCTCTTAAATTTAATTAAATAAATAAATGCAAAAAGGTGTTCTGTTTGTATTCCCCCTTACTCTGGCCGTTTTGGGGAAGAAAGAAGGTAAGTCATAAAGTCATTTAGTAATACAGCAGTAAGTGGGGGGAGATGGAGATATTTAGAGAGAGAGAGAGAGAGAATAGCTACTGCATCTTTGAATATGAATCTCCCCTTATAATATCTCCATTTAATTGTGAGATGAAAGAAGGGGCCCTCAAGCCAGAAGAATTGCACAATGGGTAGGATGGGGTGGGGAGAGTCAGTTCTTAAGGGATACCTTGGACACTTCCCTATGTGTGGAATGTGCCTGTTTTCTCTTCATCCAACTGCCCATTGGGCAGGACAGATGGATGCCTCTGCCTCTTCCTCCTGCCCGCTGATGCTTCCCCAAACACTCTAATTCAGACTGCGGCAGTGGTGCCACCTTCTCCCTGCCATCCCCACTTCCTCTTGCCTGTGTTCTCTCCTGATTGGGGGTGGTTGAGGAAACAGAAAGTAGAAGCAGCAAACAGTAGCAGAGCCATCAATGTGATCACCTCCTTTTCCCTGCCACATGTCTCTCTTTCCCTGGTGGAGGTGGGGAACAGCAGCCTAGTTGGGGAATGGAAGAGAGAGTGGCGCTGCTCATGGCCTGGTTGCACACCCAACTTCTGCTGCCATCCACCTTTATTGGCCGCTTGCTCTGCTCTAGGCAGAGCTTCCAGGAGCTGCACTGGTCCTGGAGTCTGGAATCTCTGAGTCTGTCTCAGTGGCAGGCACAAAAGAGTCTCCCAGGAGGCCCCTGCTGCCATTGCTTCCCCATTTGGCTCAGTAGCTCAGAGGCCTCCAAAGCTGTAGCAGCTCCTGCTCCTCCTTCCCCACCCACATCTATCCACTAGTGAACAGAGGCATGTTATATGCATATGTGTAGGCAATGCTTCTCCATCTGTGGGAGGTTTAAGCTCCCTGATCCATTTTTCAAAAGGTTTCGGGTTTTTCTGCAAGCCTAAGGGGTCCCTCACATTTGTAGAAAAGTCTCTTTTGTGTCAAAGTGTCCCTGATACACTTGAAAGCAAGATAATTCAATAGGGTTGCCAAGTCTACTCACCCCTCGGAGCGGGGGAGCCTCGCCGGGCTCCAGGAGCTCTCGGTGGGCCACGCCTCCAACGTGAGCGACGTGGCTGCATCACCAGAGGTGACACAGCTTCGGGGGTGGCGTTCCCCTCGGGGCCCGATTCCGCCGTGGCAGAAATCAGGCCTCCAAAGGATTAACCTTTAGATTTCATCAATTGTGATGAAATGTTCTACTCTGCTCTAAATGTATCTAGAATGAATGCCATGGAATTCCAAAAAGGATAACCTTTCTCCAAATAAACATCTGTGGCTGGACCTCTAACAGAAACGATAAATACAATCATTATTCATGACTGAAAAAGTAAATGAAAAGCCTTTTATCACCTGAGGGCAGACAAAAGAGGTGGGTTAAATAATGAAAAAAATGAAGAAGATGTAAATCATATCAGATAGGCCTTGCCTGGGCCAATTTCACATACTGTAAGACAAAGTGCTGCCAGTTTAATTTACTAACTGAAGTCAATTTTAAAATGCCCAGAAAATTACTTCGCACTCTTCATCACTAACTGTGCAGATGGACATCCAAGGAATCAAAAAGAACTATTCAATCTTCTGTAAGGAATAACTGGCATTTGAATACTGACTGAATTAGTTCCCAGTAAATGCATGGTGAGATAAGGCAATAAGCAAAAAAAATTAAAGATCTGTTGAACCTGGAAAAATATTTCACAGTAACTACTGGATCTTGTATGTTTATGAAGTACTTTTCTCATCTCCTTTTCAATAAACTAATTTTCTAACAAGTCCCCTCATTATATCACATTTATAATCATAAACTTCTTTGAACAAAGAATACCCAGTCTCTCAAAATTCTGCTGTACTTCAGTAAGATATAGGTGAAGGCATGGGTCTAAAATGACCATAAATAGGCTGCATTCAGCCTAGCTTTAAAATAACATTTTTCTACCATTCTCAAAAAATTCTACCTGCTCTCCAACTTTAAACGTATTAGCAGACAACTTATGCCCATTATTTTTGTACCTGCATTCTCCATTTAGTTAAAGATGGCAAATCCCCTTCTGTTAACAGAATGTGAACAGACAAGATGACAGGCAGAATTTTACTTATGGAGGTATGCAAGGCTGACATAAATGATGCATTATGATCTTGAAGCTGCAATTCTCTCAAGGCTTACTTGACCTCTCTGTTCCAATGCAGATTCTGGCAGAGTGTACTCCTTCTGGCTGGCTGAGCAGAAAGTGGAATCTCAGCTGATACATTTCAGAAAATAAGTCTTCTGCTTTCTGATCATCCAGCCAGAAGGAAAGTCCTGCAGTGAGACTCTGCTGTAGAGAAAGAAGGTCAAACAAACTCAAGAGAATAGCACCTCCGTCTAGATTGTAATTTATCTTTTATATTGCATGCTGTGTTTTTGTAAAGAATCTGCTTAAATAAGGCAGAGGCTTATTTAGGGTAGCCTGATCTCATCAGATCTTGGAAGGTAAACAGAGACAGGCAATGGCAAGCTACCTCTGAACAGCTCTTGCCTTGAAAACCCCACAGGGTTGCCATAAGTCAGCTGTGACTTAATGGCACTTTCCACCAAGGCAGAGGCTGAGAGGACTAGCGGTACACTAGAACTTAGGATTGCCAAAAAACCCGTTTTGCCAGGGGTTCCCCATTTTGGGGGGCTTCTACCCATCGCCGGCCACATGGCCAGCAGGGGAAGCACCACCCCCAACACCCACAGCCACCCCTCTCTCTCCCTTTAAGTGTGTGGAACCCGTGTTTCCTCCCAAGCCCGATCTCCGCTTGAGATCAGGCTTCCAGGGAAATGTCAGCTTCATGCACTTAAAATGGAAATGCAGCTCTTTGCTCTTAAAGGGGAAACGCTGGCTCCTGCACTTAAAAGGGAAACGCCAGCTCCTTTAAGTGCAGGGAACTGGCATTTCTGGAGATCTGGTGTGCGGGCTGGGGGGGGGGGCGATGGATGTCCCCAACGTGATGTCATCACATCGGGGATGCCCCTCCCCCTCCAGGAACGCCCCCAAAGTCCCCCGCTGGGGGTTGAAGATGGACTTGGCAACCCTACTAGCACTAAAGGAACCTGTACTGTGTTCTCATATTGATACTCGAAAGTATTTTTATAGATAACTGCTATGTTTTGAAACCACATCTTCATATTGGGCTTGATGCTGAATAATAAACTTCTTCCACTTTTGCCAGTTTATTCCTCCACAGCACTGACCTTGTTTTCACTGGTATGTCAAAACAGTTCCCTTTTATTATTTGTTTCCTTGGAAATAAAAGTGAGCCCATA